ACAGACCATCCTAGCCAACATGGTGAAACGCCATCTCTACTAAAAATGCAAAAATTAGCTCGGTGTGGTGGCAGGCACCTGTAGTCCCAACTACTCGGGAGGCTGAGGCAGGAGAATTGCTTGAATCCAGGAAGCGGAGGTTTCAGTGAGCCGAGATTGTGCCACTGCACTCCAGCCTGGGTGACAGAGCAAGACTCCATCTCAAAAAAAAAGAAAAGAAAACTAATGACAGTTCCCACCACAGGCCCAGCACACGAGAGCTTTACAATAGGGTTATCCGTTTTACAGATGAGAAACGGGGTTCAGAGTGGATGCTTATGCCCGCTCCAGGAAGAAGGGCCAGAATCAGGATTTGCACCCAGGCTTGTCTTCTTCCCAGGCCTGTGCTCTCAGCCCAAGGCTGCCTGAGTATGTGCCTTGAGCCCTTGGGACAGACAAGGGAGAGTGGGCCCTCAGGCACCAGTGAGTGAAGAGCTGAATTCAGCTTTGAGGCTCTGGGCCCAGGGCTCCTGCAGGGCTGCCAGGGGGCCTGGGCTAGGAGTTGGGGACAGCCCAGGGTAGGAGCGGGAGGCCTGGGCCTGGAAGGAGTTAACTGTGTGAGGGGCCTGAGTGAATCAGAGGCTCCGCAGGCTACGATGGAAATTCCCTGTGCATGGCATGTGGTCACCCAGAAAAGGGAAACGGTGCTTTTCGGAGCAAGGACGGCGGGGGCTGGAGCTAGGGAGCAGACACCAGCCTGGGTGGGGCTGGTGAGAGTACTGTGACAAAGGAGGCCTGGCGGCCAGGTCTGCTCAGGCCTTGGACAGGAAGAAGGTGAGAGGAGCCGCCAGGCCAGGCCAGGCCAGGCCTGATCGTGCTATGGTGTGTCCATGGGCCCTGATGGATGAGTAGGAGTTCACCAGGCCCAGATGAAAGAAAGGCACTCCCGACCAGAGGAACTGCTAGAACCAAGGCACAGGGCTGTGACTCAGCCTGGAGAGCCCATCCACCCTGCTTGTGCCGGCACACTCATTCCTGTCCTTCAGGGCCCATCCCAAGTAATACCTCTCTCCACTCCAGGCAACACTCATAGCCCCTCTGAGTCCCACTGCCTTGGTTTCCTTGGTTTCCCTCGTGGCGCTCACAGGATTTTGTAAGTTATCTGCCTTCCCCATGAACTATGGGTTCCACAAGGGCAGGGGCTGTATCCCAGCTGTAGAAACAGCTTGCGCCCAGCCCAAGGCCAGCACCAAGTAGGTGCTCCGTATTTGTGGAATGACCATTTCACAGAAGAGGAATGTGAGGCCCAGAGAGGTCAGCTGGCGCTTGGTCAGCCAGCTGGTGCAGCAGAGGGGGGCTCAGCCCAGGCTCCTCCTCAGCTGGGACTGGTCAGGAGGGAAGGAACGGAGCAGGAAGATCCCTCCCCTGGGGCAGGGCAGGGGGAGAAGGCAGGGGATACCAGGCGCTGACGGCCACCCAGGGAAAGCGACAGGTGGCTCTATGGTCCACGCCCTTGTTCCCCCTTGAGCTTCAGGCCAGCCCTGCTCCCGCCCTGTCACAGTGCTAGAAAACGTCCACCCTCCCAGGAGGGAGATGAAGGAACAAGAGACAGTCAGAGGAAGAGAGAAGGACACTGGGTTTTAGATTTTCTCAGTGAAATCTACAATCTCCAGACACTTGACAGGGTCTCACTCTGTTACCCAGGCTGGAGTGCAGTGGTGTGATAATAGCTCACTGCGGCCTTGAACACCCAGGCTCAAGCGGTCCTCCCACCTCAGCCTCCCCAGTACCTGGGACTATAGGCATGCGCCACTATGCTGGACTAATTATTTTATTTTTTTGTAGAGTTGGGGTCTCACTCTGTGGTCCAGGCTGACCTCAAACTCCTGGGTTCAAGTGATCCTCCTGCCTGGACCTCTCAAAATGCTGGGATTACAGGCATGAGCTACTGTGTCTTGCCCTCAGTTTCCATTTTATGATGGAGATAATGGAATAGGCTTGTTCTAGGGACAGAATAAACCAGCCACTCTAACTGTAAACCTCTGTACTGACACAAGGGAGACTGCCTGTAGCTGCAGTGCCTACTGTGTAGTCTGGCCTCTCCCGGGGGCTGTGCAGTACCATCCCACCAGCCAGCTCTGAAGCTGTGTTAGGCTCAGAGCCAGTGTCCAGCTGTCCCAGTTTAAGTCTGTGCCTGGTGAAGGCCTGTGACCTGCACCAGCCTGACAAGAGGGCCGAAACCCAATGTGGCCGGCTGAGAATGATGTCCGGGGCTTCCCGTCCAGAAACGTGCCCCCTGAAGGCCCCAGCTGCTCCAGCTCCACCACAGCGCCCCAGATTCCTGGGCCCTTTCATGTCTGCTTGAAGGTCAAGGGCATCCTGAGAAGCTGCCCTCAGGCAGGGACCAGTGACATGGAGGCGACCATCCGGGTTGGAGTGTTTCCAAGCATGAAGGGGAACTGAGAACTGTGGGAATGGGCCTTGAGCAGGGCAGGGTGGTCTGGGCCTAGTGGGAGGGGGCCTGCTCCTGGGAGCTCAGACTGATGGGGTCCTGGGGTGAAAAGAGGGGGAGCCCCAGGCAGAGGTGGGGTTGGGGGACACCGTGGGGCACCTGCAGGTCATCTAGAGTGGGCTCTCTGGGCAGTGGGAGGCGGGGGAGCTGTGCGGGGAAGGAAAGAGGAAGCCAAGGGGAGAGGGGGCTGGGCTTCTGGGGATGGAGTGGGGGTGGGGGCTGGGCTTCTGGGGATGGAGTGGGGGTGGGGGCTGGGGGCCTGGAGCCACTTTGGCCGCAGCCACTTCGCTTCTCCTGGTTTCGGTTTGTAAATAGCTGCCTGCTCCGTGGGGCAGGATGGGCCTGTCCTTTCTGCGGCCTGTGTCCAGGGAAGCCCAGGTCTAAAGAGCTACAGATGCTGAAGTCCTGGATTTGGGGACCCTGGGAGGTGTGCAGCCCAACCAGCCTTTGCCTGGGTGGGTGGGTTCTGGGGACCCATCAGTTCTGGGCAGTCCCAACCTGTGGTCACTGAGGTAATGCAGCTGGGCTGGGGGAGCTTCAGAACATGATGACTCGGCCACCCTGAGCTTATTTATAACTGGGCCCTGGTGGCCAGAGCAGCTGCTGAGCCGCCAACTCAGCACTCAGGCTGTCCCAAAACACCAAGGCAGGGAACAGGACAGTGAGGGCCAGGCTGCCCTGACAGCCTCTCAGGCTGCAGCTGCATCTCGGGGTCTTGGGCTCTCCAAGGCCTTTTTGGCTGGGACAAGGCCCTGTGTTGTGATGGGTGGGACTTGGGCTTTAGGGGAGCACCTTGTCTTGAACCTCCTGGTCCAAGGGGATGGCTGAGCTCAGCTGATGGACTGGCCACTCCCCGGGGACACAGGGCTCGGCCTTCTCGCAAAGAGTTTCTTCCTCCCGAGGTCAGATGCTGTCAGCAAACTCGACCAGAAGCAAAGTCATCTCCCCTCCCCTCTTCTTGCAATATTAGCTTAAAAACAAAACACAACAGATTTGGGGAAAGGGCATTTTGGACATCAAAGGCCTGAGCCCAGGCAGGCTGGCAGGTGGGAGAGGCGTGGGTCTTTCCCGAGGCACCCGAGTCACCCCTCACCAGCACCCACCTCCTTGGCAGCTGGGAAGGGCTGGGCCTGCCCCACCCTGGAAATGACCGAGTCTTCCTTCTGAGGAAGCGTGTGAGTGGGTGTCAGGCCCTTCCCCAAGGTTTGCAGGAATAAAGAGGCTCCTAAAAGCCTGGTCCTCCCAGATCAGGGTGGCCCCTGCCGCCCCCCATTCCATCAGCACCCTGTCTGCCAAACGTGGGCCTGCTCTTCCCACCTCTAGGTAACCCCCTCTACCCAGAGACACCCACCTGTAAGCCTTGCTTGGGTGTGGGGCCCCCACCAGCCTCGCCTGTTCCCCTCTGCCAAGGTCTTTACGAGGTCCCACCTCCAAGGCCCCAGCCTCTGTGCTGTCCCTAAAGCTTTGGTTTTGGGGATGCAAAGCCCAACGAATGTCAGAACTGGAGTAGGAATGGGTGAGGGGTTTTAGACCATGGATGCCGAGGCACTGCAGCAAAGATTTAGGCAGGCCTGGAGCAGGTGAGATGGCAGCAGTGCCTGGAGAGCCAGAGCTGAGACCAGAGCCACGTGCCCTGACTTCCCGCCTAGTGCTCACCCCTGGACCTCTGACCGCCAGGACCACCTGCCTGGCCCCTTCCTCTTGGCGGAAGCTGTTAGGGAGGGGAGGGATGGTGGCCTGCTGTGGGGGAAGCTCGGGCCACCGCTGCCCGGGTCTGGGGCTTGGGGGTGCTGGGCCCACGTAGGCCTCTCTAGGCAGGGTCGGGGCGCCCAGCCTGGAGCCGCCCGGGCTGCAGCTGCCCCTGTTTCCACATCGGCAGCAGCAAGGCCGGCGCCTGAGAAAACAGGAAGCGCCCAGTCACCACAGGAAGCATGTGTGCGCCGCCTCCCCACCCCCGGCCCATTGCAAAACGCCAACAGCCCATTACCACAGGCACCGCACAGTGGCCCGGAGAAATGCTCTGGCCGCCAGGCCGCCGAGGAGCCGGACACCGCCCCGGGCCCTCACCAGCCCAGGCCAGGCCTCAGGGAGATGTCCAGCCGCGGCCTGGAGGAGCCCGGCATCACCCAGGCCTCAGGCCTCTGCCTTCCTCTGGGCTCTCAGCTCAATTCCCAGACTGGCCAGGGCCAGGCCTACTTTGGCCACTCTTAAATCAGCATGTGGGGTCAAGGGTCACAGAGAAGCCATTTCTTTGACCTAGCGTTTGGTGTCCAGCGACTCTGTGCCTTCAGACCTTGGCAGTCCTCACTGAGGCCGTTGGCCCAGAGTCCGCCATCCTCCGAGACCCCCCCACCCCCCAGAGCCACCTGCTGCCAGGTCCACACCTGCCACACCCTCTGCCCTGTCCCAACCCCTCCCAACCGGGACATGCTGGCCCTTGGGGGTCCTGACCCAACCTGCCTTTGGGGGGCCTGGGCCCTCCTCCCTGCACCCTGCCGGCCCCACTCACCTCTTGTTTCTGGTCTCCTGGGCCCAGCCCTCAGAAGGCGACAGGAGTCCAGCAAGGCCGCTCCCGGGGAGGCTGTGCTCCTCCAGCCCCGGGGACAGCAAGGAAAAGAGAAGAGAGCAGAGCATTTCATGGCTATAATAAATCAAAGGGGGAAGTCGGAGCAGGAGAAATAAGAAACTTCCCTTGCCTGGGCACGGGGACCCGCCAGGCAGCAGCCCCCGGGTGCCCCTCGGCCTTCCCTCCTTCCTCCTGCCTCCCTGGCCAGTGCCCAGATCTCTATTCAGGCCTAGGGGTTACCCCCCTCTACCCAGAGACACCTGCCCCTGGACACCCAACAGCCCTCCTCGCTGTGATACCCGGGGCTGGCACCTCTCCACTTGGCCTCAGTTTCCTCTTAATTGGCACAGAAAGCCCTAGGTTGTGTGGTCAGGCTGCCCAGTAGAAAGGGATGAAGACAGGCAGTGCCCCCTCTAAACCAAGGACCCTCAGTGGAGAGAGGGAGGGGTGAGGTATCCTGAGAACTCCTATTGGGACAGTTGGAGCTCGATGGACAACCATCTAGGAGCCAAGATGAGAGGGAGAGGTGGCAGGAGTTGAGAGCAGAGGTGGGGCCAGCCCCAGGCCGTGACGGCTGGCAGGTCCTCAACTATCAACCTCAGCCATCCCTGAACTTCTCCCCAGCCAGGCCAGGTGGCCCAGGGCCCTGGGGGCCACCCTGGGGCATGAGACATCCACAGCCTCAGGACATAACCCAGGTGTGTCTTCCCTGAACGTCCACTCACATAGAAGAATGAGAAGGGAAGGTGTTTTTAAGAAAGGGAAGGGAAATCCCCACGCATTAAAGAGAAGGATGCAAACTTACGATTTTTTTAAGATGAAATAAGGAATTTCAGGCTTGGCGCAGTGGCTCATGCCTATAATCCCAGCACTTTGGGAGGCCAAGGCTGGTGGATCACCTGAGGTCTGGAGTTCGAGACCAGCTGACCAACATGGAGAAACCCTCTCTATTAAAAATACAAAAATGATCCGGGTGCGATGGCACGTGCCTGTAATTCCAGCTACTTGAGAGACTGAGGCAGGAGAATAACTTGAACCCGGGAGGCGAAGGTTGCAGTGAGCCTAGATTGTGTCACTGCATTCCAGCCTGGCCAACGGAATGAGACTCAGTCTCAAAAAACAAACAAAAACAAAAAACAAATGGAGAAATGCATAGCTCTGAAGTCTGCATTGAGGGACAAATGAGGCTGTGAAATGGGACCTTGGGGTAATCGTTCGGCCAGCAACACACTGTGGCCACCCCCCACCTTGCTTCCCTCTCACCTGCCTGAGTTGGGGTGAACACTGCAGCTCCCCACTCTTCTCTGACAACTCCTTGGCTTCTCTCTGGCCCTTTCTGACCTGGAAGAGGGCTGAAGCTGAGGTTCCCAGCCCCACCCTCAAGGTGCTCCCTCTCTGGGACAGAGACCTTGGAGGTCCCAACTCCCACCCTGGCAGGACTCCCCACTTCTGCTCACACTCCGTACCCCCCATATGACATCTCCACCCCAACTCGAGACTGTATTAATAACCAGAGGTACGCACCAGGCACTCTACGCTACATATACAACAGCTTGTAATCCTTGATACTGCAGGTATTCTTGTATTCTTTTTTTTTTAAAGACGGAGTTTCGCCACGTTCGTCAGGCTCATCTTGAACTCCCAACCTCAGGTGATCCGCCCGCCTTGACCTCCAAAGTGCTTGGATTACAGGCGTGAGCCACCACACCCAGCTGATACTGCAGGTGTTCTTATCCCCATTTCACAGATAAGGAAACTGAGGCTCGGGGTGGACTGACAGGTGCAAGCTCCGCTTGCTAGAAAGGGGCGGTGCTGAGATGAGAACTCAGTTTCCCTGTGTGCCTGTCCAGTGGACCCTAGGCAAACCCTGAGGCAAAGCATCACCTCTTTGGAAAAAAGACTTCAAGCCTTTTCAGGTCTCACTGCTGCCCCCAGGCCCACAGCCACAGCCTCTTCCCAGCTCCTCTACCCTATCGCTAGTCTCAGTTCTCCTGCTTCTTCTGGTCCAGGCTGGAGGATTTCAGAGTTGAAAAAAATCCAGCCTTGGCGGGGCACTGTAGCTCACACCTGTAATCCCAGCTCTTTGGGAGGCCAAGGCAGGCAGATCACTGGAGGTCAGGCGTTCGAGACCAGCCTGACCAACATAGAGAAACCCCATCTCTACTAAAAATACAAAATTAGCCAGGTGTGGTGGTGCATGCATGTAATCCCAGCTACTCAGGAGGCTGAGGCAGGCAAATTGCTTGAACTGGGAGGCAGAGGTTGGGGTGAGCCGATATCGCGCCATTGCACTCCAGCCTGGGCAACAGAGCGAGACTCTTCTTGAAAGAAAGAGAGAAAGAGAGAGAGAAAGAGAGAAAGAAGAAAGAAAGAAAGAGAAAGAAAGAAAGAAAGAAAAACTTCCAGCGTCAGGTGCCCATGGGAGCACAGAGATGGTAAAATCCAGAAAGGGGATGAGCCAGGCTCCCCTTGGCATGAACACCTAATGGTGGTTAATTCCACTGAGACAGGCCCAAAGAGGCAGCATTCCTGGTGGTGAAAGCTCAGTGCATCCGCACCAGACATTCCCGCATTTAAATTCCAGCTCTGCAATGGAGAGACCACCCTCTGGGTAAGTGACCTCATGAAAATGGGAGAAAATGCCTCTCCTGTCCTGGAGATCTCACAGGAGGGAAATGTGTTTCCAACAGCCATGGCCCAGCCCTCTTTCACGCACCAACTCTGTCCAGTAGGTACGATTATTACTCCCATTTTACAGATGAGGAAACCCAGGGAAAGGAGATGTCCCAAGGACACACAGTCTTGCAGGGGCTTGAAACCCGGTCCTGCCTACCACCAAGTCCTGTGCCCTTACATACACCTGAGAGGCCCTCCTTCCTTTCCTCCTAGGAGTTCTTCTGTACCTTCCTTGCCTGCAGGGTCGGTGCCCTGGGTGGCAAGTTGGACCGTGACTGGATGGGACTGGAGGGCTTGGCCTTGCCTGGCTGTGGCTGCAGTCCCCAAACACCTGACTGCCCTTGCTCTTGGTTGGGCTGAGGGACACTGCCTGGGCATGCAAGGGGTTGGAGACCAGGTGCACTTCCTTGCCATATTGCCTTGGCTCACTCAGCTCTCTGACCTTGTTGGTGTCTGACTTTCTTGGGTGAGGGTTATCACCCCTTCCAGGGGGCCTGCAGGGTAGGGTTGGGGCTGGGGCTGGGGCTGGGATGCTAAGAAAGCTGCACTTGAGCTTCCTCACTGGCTCAGGTCCTTCCAAGGCCCTGGGAGGGGCCTCAGCAATTTTGTTTTTGTTTTTGTTTTTGATTTTGTTGTTGTTGTTGTTGTTTTTGAGGTAGAGTCTTGCCCTGTTGCCCAGGCTGTAGTGTGGTGGCACGACCTCAGCCCATGGCATCCTCCACCGCCAGGGTTCAAGTGATTTCCCCTGCCTCACCCACCTGAGTGGCTGGGATTACTGGCGCAGGCCACCACGTGTGGCTAATTTTTTTGTATTTTAGTAGAGACAGGGTGGCCGGGATGGTTTTGATCTTCTGACTCCGTGATCTGCCCGCCTAGTCCTCCCAAAGTGCTGGGATTACAGGTGTGAGCCAGCGTGCCCAGCCTGTTTTGTTTTTTTAGACAGTCTGGCTCTATCCCCAGGCTGGAGTGCAGTGATGCAGTCTCAGCTCACTGCAAGCTCCGTGGCCGGCGTTCAAGCGATTCTCCTGCCTCGGCCTCTAGAGTAGGTGGGACTACAGGCGCGCGCCACCACGCCCAGATAATTTGTGTATTTTTAGTAGAGAGGGAGTTTCACCATGTTGGCCAGGTTGGTCTCGATCCTTGATTTCATGATCCACCGCCTCGGCCTCCCAAAGTGCTGCGATTACAGGCGTGAGCCACCGTGCCCGGCCTCTCAGCAATTCTGTACTTGTGATTTTGTAATCTTTTCCTTATCGAGTGCCTCCCCCCCCCCCCCCCCCCCCCCCGCCCACCAATGGTTTTAAGCTTCAGGCTCCACCAAACCAAAATCTGTCCCCAGGGCGGGGCGGTGGAAAGCGTTCCAGCTCCCTCCCACTTGCTTTTTGCATGCTGGCTCTGGGGCTTTGGGTGAAACTCCCCACTTTCCCATCTATGCAATGGGGATGAATGAAGCGATGCGACGCTCAGGGGACCCGCTGTTCAAAACTCGCCCAACCCACAGAGGCCGTCACAAGCCTGCACTTGGTCCATCCGCAACAGCCCTGTGGGGAAAACCGGGCTCCTACCCGCATTTTCCAGCTGAGATAACTGAGGCGTGGAGCCCTGCTGCGGCTCATCACTGAGGCTGAGTGGGCAGGCTGCAGCCCCATCCCCCCCGCTCCCTGGGGTCTCCTCCCGGGATGCCCAGCCCGGGAAGCAGGAGGGAGGTCTCCAGGGTGCGGGGGCGCTCTGGAGAGCCCGGGGGCGGAGGCGGCGTCCCGCACTATCTCACCGCAGGCCCTTATCTGCTCGGGCAGCTTCCGCCCCCTACCCCAGGCCCCGCCGCAGGCCCGGCCCCCGGCCCCGCCCTCGGAGGGCCCCTCCCCCGCGCCGCCCGCCCCCAGGGGAGCTCCCGAGCTGCCCCGCTACGGCCCAGTCGAGCGGAGAAGGGGCCTGGTCCCCCAGGTGGGCAGCCGGAAGTGATAAATAACCGAGGTGGGGGGACACCATTGCTCTGAGGCTCGAGCTGCCCCGGAACGCTCGCCCCCACCCCAGTAGGGGCTTCCCAAACTAAGTTGCCCTAGCCAAAAGTGGGAGGGGAGCTGAGACGAAAGAGGAGAGGGGTCCCTTAAGGCCCCAGGGACAAGAGAAGTGGCGGGGTCAGTTTCAGCAGGGCTCCGAGGGACACACGACCTCCTCCCACATTAGCAATGCCAAATGGCCTCCCTGGCACAGGTGTGCGGGGGAAGAGAGAAGCGACACCGTGGAGAAAGTGAAAAACAAGCCACAACTAGCCATGTCTGCGGAGTGCAGCGGGGAACAGCCTCAAAAATACGTAAGAAACTCTTGCAAACCAAGGAAAAAGAAAATCAAGCAATCCAATAGAAAAATAGATAACACACGCGAGAATTTGCTCAAATACCATCCAGGGAGGCTCAGCCTCACTGCTGATGAGGGCGATGCAAATTCAGACCACAATGAGAGGCTATTTATGCCTCTGAAGGGCAGAAGGCAACTGTCCTGACAGCCAGGGCTGGCCTGGAGGGGAGCAGCAGGCCCTCCTGCTTGTGGCTAGTCAGGGTGCAGCCCAAAATAGCCCCCCAGGGAGAGCAATCTGGCCTTATCTCATGAAGCGGAGGTACAGAGGCTGTCACTCACTCATCCCCCCAGGCAGCAAATCAAGATAAACTCTCAGGCATGTGCTCCAAGAGACAGGGACAAGAATATTCACAGCTGCGTTGTCCCTGATAGCAAAAAAAATCCTAAAATAATATCCCAGGGCCCATTAATTAGAGAATGAATTAATTACAGTAGACACATTCGCATGGTGAACATCATTCTGCAGAAGCAGATGACTCATAGGTTCACCGACATCATGAAAGAATCTTTGCACCATGGTATTGAGTAGAAAAAGTCAGTCCAAGAAGAGGCATACAGGCGGCCCTCTGTATCCCTGGGTTCACCATCCATGGATTCAACCAACCTTGGGGAAAATATTTGGGGAAAAAATGGATGGTTGAGTCCGTAGAAAAACGTACGGACTTTCTTCTTGTCATTCCCTAAACAATACCATGTAACAACATAGCATTTACATTGTTTTTTGCAATCTAGAGGTGATTTAAAGTCTATGGGAGGATGTGGTAGGCTAGATATGCAAATATTTCATACCACACATTTTATATCAGGGATTGAGCATCCGTGGACTTTGGTATCCTCAAGGGGTCTTGGAACCAACTCCCCCACCCCCAACCAGGGCACCAAAGGACAGCTGTCCTCACCTTTCTCATGAAGTTCAAAACCAGGCAAGCCATATCTTCACAAATAACAATGTTCCTTCCCTCTTTCTAATACTTTTGTTATTAGGAGATGATACGGTTATCCACATAAAAGACTCTAGGCGGCCAGGCATGGCTCAGGCCTGTAATCCCAGCACTTTAGAGGCTTAGGCAGGTAGATCAAAAAGTCAGGAGTTTGAGACCAACCTGGCCTAGATGGTAATACCCTATCTCTACTAAAAATACAAAAATTAGCCAGGTGTGGTGGCAGGTGCCTGTAGTCCCAGCTACTGGGGAAGCTGAGGCAGAAGAATCACTTGAACCCGGGAGTCGGAGGTTGCAGTGAACTGAGATTGTGCCACTGTACTCCACCCTAGGCAACAGCGCAAGACTCTGTCTCAAAAAAAAAAAAAAAAAAAAACCTCTAGGCTGGGCACAGTAGCCCATGCCTGTATTCCTAACACGTTGGGAGCCCAGGAGTTCTAGACCAGTCTGGGCAACATGGCAAAACCCCATCTCTACAAAAAATGCCAAAAAAATTAGCTGGGCATGGTGGCATGTGGCTGTGGCCCCAGCTACTTGGGAGGCTGAAGTGGGAGGATCACTTGAGTCCAGAAGGCTGAGGTTGTGGTCAGCAGAGATTGTGCTACATTCCAGCCTGGGCAACAGAGCGAGACTGTCTCAAAACGTGTATGTATGTGTATATGTATATATATCTCTCTCTCTCTCCACAAAAATATAAAACACCTAGTAGTAAACTTGGTAATAATTATTCAGAACCTACAGGAAAATAATTGTAAAATTCACTAAATAATGTAAAACTTTAAAACAGCCTTTTTTTTTAATTTTAAAAAGCCAACTAAAATGGAATATTGTCTAGGTATACATATATATGTCAGAAAACGCTTTATCAAAAAAATAAAAGTAAGAGTCAGATGTGGTGGTGTTCACCTGTAGTTCCAGCTTCTTGGAAAGCTGGGGCGAGAGGATCATGTGAGCCCGGGAGCTTGAGACCAGCCTGGGCAACAAAGCGAGACCCTATCTCTAATTTTAAAAAAAGAAAGAAAGAAGCCACGCCTGTAATCTGGCTCACGCCTGTAATCCCAGAATTTAAGAGGCCAAGACTGGTGGATCACTTGAGGTCAGGAGTTCAAGACCAGCCTGGCCAACATGGTGAAACCCTATCTCTATGAAAAATACAAAAATTAGCCAGGCGGTAGTGGCATGTGCCTGTAATCTCAGCTACTCAGGAGGCTGAGGCCAGAGAGTTAACTTGAGCCTGGGAGGCACAGGTTGCAGTGAGCCGAGATCATGACACTGCACTTCAGTCTGGGCAACAGAGTGAGACCCTGTCTCAAAAAAGAAAGAGAGAGAGAGAGAGAGAGAGAGAGAGAAAGAAAGATAGGGAGTTTATATAGTGAGATTTTCATATTTCTAAGATGAGATTTGATGTATCTATGCAATTTTACACAATTGCATACATGTGATCATATACATCTTTTATTTTCATTTATTTATTTAGAGACAGAGTCTCTCTCTGTTGCTCAGGCTGGAGTGTAGTGGCATAATCTTGGCTCACTGCAACCTCTGCCTCCCGGGTGATTCAAGTGATTTCCCTGTTTCAGCCTCCAGAGTAGCTGTGTTTACAGGTGCCCACCATCACGCCCGCCTAATTTTTTGTATCTTTAGTAGAGATGTGATTTCACCATCTTGGCCAGGCTGGTCTAGAACTCCTGACCTCAGCCTCCCAAAGTGCTGGGATTACAAGCGTGAGCCACAGCACCCACCTATTTATTTATTTATTTATTTATTTTAAGATGGTGTCTCGTTCTGTCAACAGGCTGTAGTGCAGTGGCGCAATCTCAGTTCACCACAACCTCCGCCTCCCGGATTCAAGCGAATCTCCTATCTCAGCCTCTTGAGTAGCTGGGATTACAGACAGGCACCACCACATCTGGCTAATTTTGTATTTTTAGTAGAGATGGGGTTTTACCATGTTGGTCAGGCTGGTCCCAAACTCCCAAACTCCCAACCTCAGGTGATCCGCAGACCTCAGCCTCCCAAAGTGCTGGGATTACAGGCGTGAGCCACTGCACCTGATCATATGCATCTTTTAATGTGTTGTTTTCCTTCAACATTTTTTCCTTCTCTATTCACATTAGTTCCTCCCACCATGGAAACCATAATATCACTTTAATGTGTTATGTATATTTTTTATGTATTCATTTTACATAGACTGATATATACTGATACCTTTAATCACATATACATATACAGGTTTCTTTTTGTCATTATTTTTAAATAGCCTCTTTAAAAAAGTGGATATAAAATATCTCTGTATCTCACTTTTTTCACTCATATACCTAAAAGCCCCTGAAGATCTAATTTAGTGCTTTATTAATTTGTAATTCGTATTTTTTCTTTATTTTTGAGACAGGGTCTCACTCTGTCACCCAGGCTGGAGTACAGTGGCACAATCAGTGCTCACTGCAGCCTTGACCTCCTGGGCTCAAGCAATCCTTCCACCTCAGCCTCCTGAGTAGCTGGGGCTACAGGTGCACACCAGCACACCTGGCTAATTTTAAAATTGTTTGTAGAGTCGGGTTCTTGGTTTGTTACCCAGGCTGGTCCGGAGCTCTTGGGCTCAAGAGATCCTCCCTCCTAGGCCTCCCAAAGTGCTGGGATTACAGGTGTGAGCCACTGAGCCTTAGGAATCCAGTGGGAATTCCAGGCCAGGTGGGAGGAAAGGGTAGTGCATTGGCAGTAAGCAACATTTCTGGCTGGGTCTTGCCCATCCCCTTGTTAGGTGGCCAGAGGCCCTCAGCCCCCAGAGGCAGGAATGCGAACTGTGCTATTGTGAAATCATTTGCATATTGTGAAGTGCTTTGCATAAGATGGAGTGCTTTGCATACAGGTTCCTTGCCAAGAAACCAACCCAGGGATTCCATTTTGGAACTCAGGGAGGGAACAGAA